CGGTGATTGGCTCATTTCTCTGTCAATCAAAAAGAGATTCAGCCTCAGACAGATCATCCAATCATCATGCAGAAAAGCTGAGCATACGGGCCAGCCGATAAACACCCACTGTCCGTAGACTCCCAGACGCTGAGCGTCTGATGGGCGGGACAAAACCAGCATTTATCCAATGATTCGTCTCGTTTCAATGCATTGGGACAACCTACACTGAACTCTCTCGACGCCCAGCGTCCGCGCTGTCGACGTTCAGCGTCTACACAGTTGAAAGCACAGCGAATCTGCGGGAATGAATGACAAGAGAGTCGCGTCGTAACCAGTAATAAGAAGCTGATTCGGAACATAGGTTGAGCACGTTGTAGCGCATATTTAGTCAATGACATGTCCACACAATTGTCCGTACACACATATTTGATCACTTACTTTTTGACATTTTAGGGGAAGCTGAGCTTACAGAAAATGCAGGTTCCAATTATGATGTTTGTGCTCTTCACACGGTACAAAAATCTGTCCCTTGCTCCCAGTGTCAGGTCTCCCACTAAGGTAGGCAATGGTTATTTCTCACAAACTCAGTCTTTTCTTGTATCTAGTTAAGTTTTCTGTCATGATCATGTTTGGGTCTGTTTTTTTTTTTTGTTTTTCTTTTTTGTGCACCCTGAGATGAAATACATGTCTGGTTTCAGTTGAGCTGTAGCAACCATGGTGACAGCTTCGAGATAGCGACGGGTGACAGGTATCATATTTTTCAAACCACTTGGCCCACCATATTATTAGATGTAACATCAGTGAATGGGTCTATTTTTAAACATTTTCATTCATTTTCATACATAAGGCGCATCGGGTCATAAGGTGCATTACTTGGTGGCAAGAGACTGGACAATGGCCCACCTCAGTCATTTGACTTCCTGGACGCATGGTGAGACGATGTGTTTTATTTGTTTCTGCATCTCATGCACATGTGGTAATGCATTTTACTTGGTTATTAATAAACTGTTTGATAGAGTGTCTCATGAGAAGATCCTGCATATGCTCACTTTCACGTCCGGCAGGCAATCAGACCCTTAAGACAAACACAAAGAGAGACTAGGAGTCAAGCAGAGTTGTCTTTTCTCGCGAGGAGAACGAACAAAGAGTGTAACAGTTCTTTGTGCCGTTACAGTCTCGGGACAGCTCTGAAGAAACTGCGCTCACTTTTTATTCTCTTTAGGGAGTTTTACAAAGGGGTGGAGGAAACATACAGACAATACATTCCTGAGTGGTTAGAGGGGTCATACTGAAGGTCAGCGATTTGTGATTGCAGTTGTTGATACTCCACAGGCGCGACGTCCTTGAGGCTGGTATCTTTATTTCAGAGGCTGCGAACAGAAACCATCTGGTCGCGTCAGCATGATAAACTGCTTTGATTTGCCTACCGTTTACTTTCCAATTTGCTTTGTACTTAAATGAAGTCATTGTAGGGTGGCAGTAGTAACCTGATTATATATGGAAAAGCAGAGAGCGATAAGCTATTTACAATTAATCTTACACTTACTTTATTGGCATGGCTGGAAAACGTCTTGATTGGTTCAAGGTATACTGTATGTCTTTGGGCAGAAAAAGTAATCTGACGAGAAATTCAGAATTAATTGACCAACATTTGGTGTGGGTCTGTACTTGGCCATACTGTGATTTCTTTATTCAGATTCAGAAAACTTTATTCATCCCCAGGGGGTAATTGGACTTAACAGGCACGCTTTGCACAAGAAACATGAAAAACAAAGACGAACATGGGATACAGTGCGAAGGGCCTGTCGGTAATCGCCGTAAGTACAGCGCCCCGAGATCTTAGATGAGAAAAGTAAACACTAGGGAAGGAGGGGATAAAAAAAACATGCTCGAACTATCCTCTTCTGAGGATAATTTAAGTCTAGGAGAAAAAAATTCCCTGCACATCAAGCATATGACAGTTGCAACAAGACACAAGACATAACGTGATGAGGGGGGGGCGGATGGATGAAGCATGGTACCTTTATGAATAAACCATTCGTCACAAGGTGTAGTAATGCTAATGTTAACTGTTGGTAGAACTAATCGATGACGTGTGTTAAATTCTTTCGTCAAATTGATCGTAGATTATACATGCATCGTCTTGGGAAGAGGATGTCAAGCCACATCAACACTTACCTGTATTAATTTCTCTGCTGTATTCCTTCACTGGCGCCGATCAGCCAAATCCTCATTTACTTTCCGAAGCGAGAATTCCAACTTCACCATGTTGTCGCCAATCGTACGGAGACACCCCAAAACCGCGTCCATATTGCGGTTGAGCTCAGTCACCGCTTGAGTCTGTGTATTGGACATTCGCGCCAGACCATCCAGAATGACCGGCAGCTTCTTCACTTCCAATAAAGCTGCTCCCATCGGTTGAATTTTGCGATAGAACAGGAAACTGCTAACACCAAACAGCAGCATACCTGTTATCAGAAGGCCAATAATGTAGATGTCTTCCACATCCTCAACGGACAGTATTGACAGGCACACCATTCTCCACTTGCTCCATGGATCAAGGGCGTATCCGGCAGCAAATGTCCCCGAGGGGCAAGTAGGCTCCCCACTGCCTGCTCTTCTCGTCGAGAAAATTTTGTCGATTGCATCGAGGGACCAGCCACCAATTCCATGGTTAGTTCTGAGGGTGAAAGTACGATAGGAGGCTAGGAAAGTTAGACACAGACAGCACGTAGACTGAGAGGCGAGCAAGGAGAGGGTGGGGTAGGACGGGGAGCTGAGCAGAAAAGCGTCCGCCTTCGTCGAGAGCCAGCAAGAAAGCTTTATGCGAAGCTCTTTATATATGATGCCAAACTTTACGGCTATTTCAGTCATAATGATGATGTCAATGACTTAAATCCAGTCAGATTTGGACACAGTTTATCAGCAGGCTAGTGACAAACAATTGGAAATAGTAGTTGAAAAATTATTTGTTGTGAATTACGGCTACGCTAACCCAACATTGGATTTACAGGTGGGTGGCATTACAGTCAGTGGTAATGTCGTTTTTGACTCACGGTTGTTCGACAATAACAGAGAGACTTCGTAAAGTTTAATTTTATATTTGCTGTTTTTTGTTTTTTTTTCGTTGTTAGACCTGGATTATAGTACGCAATAGAGGTGTGGTCCTTTCATTTAAAACAAGATATAGACTTAATTGAGAGAGTGCAACACTTACTCACACCTTGACTACCAGGCTTCTCTTTGTACTCCCACTCTGAACGTTGAGCCAAACTTCATCTCAGTCCCAAAGGCATTATCATGTTGTGTTTCACTTGATGATGGTGTACAAGATTATGAACAGTTTTTATTAATCATAAAGGAAAATTATATGAATTTTCATTCGTTATTTGAGGATGCATTGTCAGATTGAAGGTTCAGGTTAACATTCTAAATTGGATCTCAGGAGTTAGTCTTCGCAATGGGGGTAGTACCTTTTATGAAACAATTTTAGTATTGATGATGTTAATCCTCCTACACTGGCAATTTTTTGAAGACGCATGGCTCAACTATCATTTGACGTGGCTTTGGGTTGAGAGTCCGGACAATGGCCCAAACAATATACTTTGCTGTGTCCGTTTAAATGTGTTTTTTTATTTCTTCAAATGCATCAATGATTTTTTTTTTTTTTTAATGCTGCTTGTTGTCTGTGATGTTTTTTGACTGGCTTACAATAAAATGCAAAGTTCCAGTAAACCTCACACACTCAGGGCACAACTGTGTGTTCCTTTTTTGCCAAAGCTTTCAGCTTTCTTTTCAAACCACCTTTTGTGAGCTTTTTTCCCAAAAAGCAGGCACTGGAATTTTTTTGACAAAGTGAAGATTTTTGCCCGTTGTTGTGCTATCCAGGCTGTTTAAATGCATTTTTAAAATCTTTTTTTTAAATTATATAACTTTTACTTGCATACTTTCTGATTAAATAATTTTTTTTTAAGTACTAATGCAGTGGTTCTGAACCCTGTTAGAGGTACCGTACCCAACCAGTTCATATGCACATCCACCGAACCCTTAGTGAAAAATAAAAATATGATTCAAGAAGTGTTCCTTCAGTTTTGCCGGTGCAAGATGAGAGTTACTCAACTTGGCCTGACAAATCATGCAGATAGGACACAGAGTCCCATCATGTTCTGTGATGCATGTGAATCCATGTTGTTCATGTTCATCAGTCACATGTCGACTACTGAGCGAACTAAATTTCCCGCAGCACTGATTGGACAAGCAAAGTAATGTGATCATCTGCAGCCAGCAATGGCCAAGCGGGCGTGTCATAACTAAATGACATATTGAGTCAGGTGTGTCTTAAACTCCATGGCAGAGGCTCCGTCGAACCCCTGAGACTGATTCACCGAACCCCTGGTGTTCGATCGAACCCAGGTTAAGAACCACTGTACTCACAACAAACAAACTCAAAAAAGCAACATATATATCAACATGTGACTACAAGCTCTTCTGCAGTCTCTACTGATTGAATTGACCGATATTTGTCTGAAGATGATAAACTGTTGAATAGAAGTACATTTCTCAGGTCTCTTGAATTAATTAATTTCCGGCAATAGTGAGTCTATGGTCTCCTCCGCTTCAAGGTTTCTGGATCCAATTCAAGATAGCCCATTAGCAAACTTGCACTGTTTGAGCACCTCGCTGAAGCCCTCACAGAGTTTAAGATCACTTTGTGATTGAGCGCAGTCAATAAACTGTTTGAGCTCGTAGGAACAGGCTTGCTGCGGGGTATTTTGCTGCATGTACATGTGTCATAGTTTAATAACCACTGTTTCAGTGGAACGCAAACTGCATAATTTTACAGCGTCTGGCATGCCATCCAATAATATTAAATAACATTAAAATGAATAAGAATCTGCTTTATTTATTTATTTATGAATGAATGAATGAATGAATGAATGAATGAATGAATGAATGAACATGAGGGGCGGCGTTTCAAAACGTGAGGTGTAATGTAATGTTCTGTATCTTGTGTCTAGGCATCACTACTGTGCTAACCATGTCCACCATCATCACTGGTGTGAATGCATCTATGCCTCGAGTATCTTACATCAAGGCAGTGGACATTTACCTCTGGGTCAGCTTTGTCTTCGTCTTCTTATCGGTGTTGGAGTATGCTGCAGTTAACTACCTGTCCACTGTCCAGGACCGTCGGGAACGGAAAATGAGAGAGCGCGCACGATCCCAGGTTGGTTTGTCTCACCCGGTTTGTTTGGCACGATGTGAAAGTGTCATGTCTTAAACATCGTCGCTAATGAAAGGAGAAATCCCCCACTCTCTCGTGCCAACATCGTGGAAAATGAGCAGATATTGAAACAGCTTTATTTAGCCAACATTTTACAGCATGTTTTGGTTATTGACAAACATTATATACCTATGTCTTTTGGTCTGGTTCTCATGGAGATGTGGAACTGTTATTTGGTTTCCAACCTTTTTTTAACAGACAGCTCACAGGTTGGACAAAAGGGCAGACTGCGTGAATAACTTCCGACAATTAGTACACCGAAACAATTGCCCATGTTGAGTTGAAGTCTGTCACAGACAATTCTAAAATGACCGGTAGAACCTGAACTGATGGCCAGTAAATCATAGGGGTGATTTCAAAGACAGACCATCCCATATCTGCATCTAAGATAGCAAGAAGGAGAACCCATCCCAGCACAGGGCAAACATACTTGTAGTCTTTGTCATGAGTTCAAGTATCAAGTACAACTTTATTGTGAAAAGTGCTACGTACAGCACAGATGAAATTTCTTCCCTCACAAGACAACATACAACAAGAGGAGCGGCGGGTGCCCCTGCCGCCATCAAAAGAAAAGTTAACATAAAATGACAAAATAATATAAGACAACACATTAGACACAGACAATCGTGCAATCTTCACCACTTTCCTGCATACACTTTGTTGTCTGAAGCAGTTATAGATGAAAGAGGAGCGAATCAAAGTGTCCTTTTCACCAATGACTGACATTCGTACATTTAGTGTGTGTTGTTTGATGGATAAATGAGAGGATATCTGATGTCTTAACTTTTGTTTTTCACACTTAAGGCTTTGTTTTTTTTTTTGTGATGTTCCGGAATATCTCGAATCTGGAACAGAACCAGTCCCCACAAATGCAGACTGAGACAAGATCAACTACAAAAATACTTTTATCAAAGAACAAAACACAAAACCGTAAAAAGTACAACGTAAAACGCTCGTAACAAGGAACCGGATAATAGCGAGACGAACAAAAGGTGCGTGCAAAGGCAAGAAGGAAATGTTAACACAAACTCTTTTGTCGTGAAAAGACAAGGAAAAGCTAAAAACCGAAAAAACAGAATATCACTATGAATAACGAAAGGAGCGAAGAGCAAAACTAGGAATTACAAATACGAGACTGTGATCGAGAACGTCGAAGGTTTAAAAAAAACAAACAAGTCGTGAGCACTACAGAATTATTCCACAACAAGTGACGGCTTGATAGTCCTTTTAAGCAGGTGAGCGCTGATGATGTGATATCGGTACGACTCTGGAGGAGAAGCCCTCAATGCCACCTAGTGGACATAAACAGACAAAACCATGACACTTTTGATGTTATGCTACGTTATTTTTTTAATTTTTTTTCAAAGAACAAATTGCATTATATTACAGTAGTTATGCAAAAATAAATACTACTTTTAGAATATGGGGTCCTCTCCAAAAAAGTATTTTCGACCCAAAAAACAATCACAGGTAGTTTTATGGACAGTAATCCCTCGTTTATCGCGGTTAACCCTTATATTATGTTAAGGGTCAATTTGACCCATTTCAGTTTTTGCGTTGACCAAAGCACTGGATATCCTTTCTTTTTCTTCATGAAATTTATTGACTTTTCCTCATCTAGGGTCATGAACTGGTGTGTAAAATCTGGACACTCTGATGTGTAGTGGGATGTCTGTGCACAGTTTGAATACAAATATGATGTTGGGGGTCATTTTGACCCAGGCACTTTAATGTGGGCAAGCAGCATTTCAGATCCAAAAGAAACATGTCAAATTGATGAACAGTACTTAGTTTTGACTGCTCAGTGACTGCCAGAGACCCAGGTATGTGTAGAGCAGGAACTTTCTCTCATTTGACTCGTCACTCTTCTCATGTCATTTCTTTGACCAACATACCAAAAATGAGCTCCAGAAAATTTACAGCTGAAGAAGCTTCATCACAGAGTTTGAACGGGGATAGTGATGCAGAGGAAGATATTTCAGAGACAGAGGATCTTTCTGGCAAGTATGGCATCAAAATGTGGGCAGCCTGTGATGCAAAATCTAGTTTTGCATGGAATATGCAAGTGCATACTGGAAAGCTACTTGGAGGAGCATCTGAGAAGATTCAGATGATGCGTGTGGTGCTAAAGATGAGTGAAGGACTGCAAAGTCATAACGTCTTTACAATGTATGGCCTTGGAGATGAAGTTCAGGAGAGAAAGCTGAATATATTGGCAACAGTCAGAAGAAATAAGACCCGGTGAAATTCTGAAGATGCAGGGCAGACCTCTGCATTCCTCAGTTTTTGTTTTCAATGAGAAAGCAGCAGTTGTTTCATACTGCCCAAAGAAAAACAAAAATGTTCGTGTAATGAGCACAATGCACATAGATGCATCACTGAGCATAAGAGAAGACATGAAGCCACAAATGATCCTGGACTTCAACTCCACCAAAGGGGGACTTGACAATCTGACAGCACACATACAACTGCCAGTGCATTACTTTGTAGATAAAACAGTGAAAATCTCAGAAGAGTTAAATGAAAAAAAGAAACGTGACATGGAAAAACTTCAACTAAACCGTTCTTAAATATACTGTTGGGATTAAAAATCTGTTGTCTGTCTCTTTTCTGAATGTTTACATCAGCTTAAACAAAGTTGTTACTGGTGTAACCTGTTTTTTGACTATTTTGTGTAGATTTTTATAGTACGGGTCAAAATGACCCACAACATAATCAACGTGATTTTTTTTCAACATAATATAAGGGTTAATGGGGACGAAAACCACCCGCGACAAACGAAAATCCGCAAAGTAGTGACCAGTAAACATATAAAAAAAAGATAGGTTTTATTTATTTTATTTTTTTAAGTCCGCAAAAAGTCCGCAAACTGTCCACGAGAAGCTGCGAAAGTCACCAGCGAGTCACATAGAGCAACATATACAGTACTGTACTCCATTTTTTTTTTTTTTTTTTCATGAATATGTTTGAAAAATTCCGTGATGCACTGAAGCCGCGATAAACGAACCGCGAAATAGCGAGGGATCACTGCATTTGTTTTGTTCTTTCATGAAATAATTGCTTTTTTTTTCTTTCCTGATAGTCACTGCCCTGCACATGTGGTATTTCCCAGACAAGAACCATGGCAATGTTAGATGGCACCTATAGCGAGGCCGATACCAACAGTCTTGCTGGCTACACCGAAGAGCCAATGGTGCCGGAGGAGGAGCAGGAAGAAATGCACGATGTGTCCGAAAAAACAGAACATATGGTGGTTCACCTGTCAGTGAGCAGTGAATCCACCACCACGAAGAAGAAGAAGAGTCTACGTACCCTAAACATCATCCAAAACACGCATGCCATTGACAAATACTCGCGTATGATTTTTCCAGGGTCGTATATTTTCTTCAATCTTATCTATTGGTCTGTCTACTGCTGAACACACACCCGGTTTAGGGCTGCAGTGATGGAAAATGTCACAAAGACGGAATACAAGCTTCATTAAAATGTTACAATTCCGAACTAATTAAAAGTGACTCTTGGGCCCTATGTTTGGTGCTTAAGATCATGGACAGTGACTGAACACAACATAAATCAGTTACAATGCAATACAATCGACATTGAATTGGTGCTGGATGGCAACTTCTCACACACGCACACACACACACACACACACACACACACACACACACACACACACACACACACACACACACACGTGTATATATAGTGTATATATAGCACACATATTTTTTTGTCATTTGTTTGCTCTTATCTACTCATAATTGTTGGGATTATTTTCTTGTTTTTCATTTTTAGATAAAATTTTCCCATTCTTGGAACAGATTGTCAGAGATAAGTCAGAGGTATATTGTCCTGGAATGTGTAGTGTAGGTGAGTAATTCCTTTTTGTTCTCATGTGATAAAACACAAAGGGATTTTATTTTTCGCGATGAAAGAATTATGAAAGAATTTGTGAAATGAAGTGGATGCAATTATTTCTTGAAACGTGCGGCATATGATGGTTGTAATGATTGATTCGGAAATCTGAAAGAAAGACCGATGTTATTACAATCTATTTGCTCAAATTCTTGTCAATCCTGAATTTCTTCATTTGGATTTATTCTTGGGCGGCCCGGTGGTCGAGTGGTTAGCGCTCACAGTGCAGAGGTGCAGGGTTCAATTCCGGCTCTGGCCTCCCTGTGTGGAGTTTGCATGTTCTCCCGGGCCTGCGTGGGTTTTCTCCGGGTACTCCGGTTTCTTCCCACATTCCAAAAACATGCATGGCAGGTTCATGGGACACTCAAAATTGTCCCAAGGTGTGAGTGTGAGCGCGGATGGCTGGCAACCGGTTCAGGGTGTCGCCCGCCTACTGCGCGAAGACGGCTGGGATATTCTCCAGCGCCCCCCGCGACCCTTGTGAGGATAAGTGGATCAGAAAATGGATGGATGGATGGATGATTTCTGGACAATTCAAGTTAATTTGGGCTGATTCATGACATAAAGTGGCAAAAATCCTTCATTCTTGACCGATTCTTGTCATCTTGTTCTCATTTTATGAAAAATGTTTAATCAATGAGATCTTCTATTTTCACGTATAGGTGGTTTGAGTGTTTTTGGACCAGAGTGTTGTTGATCAACCATTTTAGCCAGTGCATTGCTGCAGATGGGTTGTGATCTGACCAGTAGAAGTTGAGCGATACAGTAAGTATTTCTCATAAGGAATAATATTTGCAGAGTCCAATCTTTTCTTATGACTGAATTTCCTTCTGTGGGAAACAACTACGGTATACAGTCAAATTCCTCTACAACGAAATCATGTTTGCAACAAGAAATATTTCACAACAGGGGTTTTTTTCACTGTAGCAAATTTTATCTCAGATGTAAACACACACACAAAACGTATATTTTACTCTTTATTTTTATTCTAATACTGTACGTAGTGCATAAATATGAGCATACTTATTTGATATTGTTTAACATCAACATATATTTTTTTATATTAATCACTCCACTTTGTCTGTTGTTTTAAAAAAGTCATTTATACTCTTTTTTAAAAAAGGTACCGGTAGTTTCAATATCTACAATTTGATTTCAAATTTTACTTCTATGAAATGCACCTGAAGCATAACAGTACTGTAATGAATAATATGTCTAATGTATACAATACTGTAACACCTTATGAATATGTAATAAATAAATTTGATGATGCAAAACTAGGAAAAAAACAAAAATCGGTTACATTTTTTGGTTATGTTGTAAAGCAACATTCGAATTTTCTATCCATTCATGAAAAAATAAATGATAGAAAATAGATAGATAGATAGATAGATTGATAGATAGATAGAAAAAGTATTGATTTGTTAATTTTTATCTGATTTTAATTGGAATTTAAAATAATGATTTTTGAAATCAAACAATCCTAATCCCAAAGACACTTCATACTGTACAGTACTGTACTCTATAGCCAATGTACAGTTGTGCACAAAGAGAAAAAAAGGGAAAGAAAATGTGAAATTTACGATCAGCATTCACTTTCTCTTACATCAATTTCTTGGATAATGTGTTTTATTTTGCTTCCTCCGTCTTTCATTTTGATCACTTTTACCCTCTCTTCCAGCGTCAGAGCTCTTCTTGTCTTAGCTGCAAATGTCCGTTTTGTAGCCATTTTAGCAATGGAACGAAATACTTCCTGGACTACTGCGCATGTGTCAACTAGTGTGGTGGTTGCTGTTGCAGTTTCGGAGCGGAGCAGTAGAGATCGCTGTTGACTGAGGTTGGATTAGATTTTTGCGGAAGGCTTGTTTTCCTTGTGGTGAATCTCGTCGTGAGGCAAGAGCAGAGAAAAAGATTAGGTATAACGGAACAGGGGGATTTTTCATTGTAGGGGGAGCAGAAAAGTGGGAATGGCTTTCATGCATGAACATTTTTTTCACACTCGGGGGTATTTTCGCCCATATAGGTTTCGTTGTAGAGGAGTTTCACTGTATGTCCCGTATGAACATCCAAGTATGTTAATAACATACATGTGTGACAACACAAGCAACAAAGTGCAACAATACATTGCCCAAAAACTGTTTACAACACAAAAACTGCAGGATACAGTACGGGTATATGAATAAAATATACTCTAACAAAATTTGGACTAATTTCTACGAAATGAGACGAGTAAGAGACCGAGCTTTTCTTTCCACTCACTCACTGTCTCTAACTTGACCTCCCCTCAATCACCACCCAAGACAGCGTTGCTCAGCTGATGTCGTGCAACGAACTTATTGGATTGGATTGCTTTATTGTCATTACACATTCGTGCAACGAAATTATCGTAACAGGCACGCTCTGCACAAGAAACATGAAAAAAACAATGACAAACATGGTATACAGTGCAAAGGGCCTGTCGGTACTCGCTATGTAAAGCGCCCCGAGATCTTAGTACAGGAAAGGAAACCACTAGGGAGGGAGAGGTTTAAAAAAACCATGCTCAAACTATCCTCTTTCTGAGGATAATTTGGGTCTAGGAGAAAAAAAAAACCTAAGCACAGAAACAAGCATATGACAGTTACAACAAGTCACAAGACATAACATGTAATGAGGGGATGGGTGGAAACGGGGTTGGGGGGGCGCCACGCGGCCTGTCCGACCAGCTGCTCAGCCAATCGGCGAGCGCTCCGCAGATCAGGTTCACGTCACGGGGGAAAAACAGGAGGAACGATGAAGACGGTGATTATAAGGATGTGTATGCGTGTGTGATTGTCTGGTTGTGTATGCGTGAACAGGCCGCAGCTGCTTCGTCAAGGTCTGTTCATGAAGACAGTCCTGGCTTATCAGTCCATGGCCGAGAAGGAGGGGGTGATGGTGGGGGCACTAGCTTCCGTGCATACCTTCCATCCAGGGGAAAGGGGTCCAAATAGCGTTGTTTGTTTTGGAGGGACGGCCGCCAACAATTTCAGGTGGCCTTGAGTCCGTGGCTGTATCCCTTCACTGGCGCCGATCAGCCAAATCCTCAATTCCTTTTCGAAGCGAGAATTCCAACTTCTCCATGCTGTTGTCGATCGTACGGAGACGCTCCAGAACCGCAATTGCGGTTGAGCTCAGTCACCGCTTGAGTCTGAGTGTTGGACATTCGCGCTAGACCATCGAGAATGACCGGCAGCTTCTTCACTTCCAATAGGGCTGCTCCCGTCGGTTGGATTTTGCGATAGAACAGGAAACTGCTAACACCAAACTGCAGCATACCTGCAATCAGAAGGCCGATAACGTAGATGTCTTCCCCACTGCCTGCTCTTCTCATCGAGAAAAAAATTTGTCGATTGCATCAAGAGACCAGCCAACCAATTCCATGGTTTGTTTTTTAGGATGAAAAATACGGCGGAGGCTAGGAAAAGACAGCACATAGACTGAGTGGCGAGCAAGGGGGGGGGGGGGCAGGAGCAGGAGCAGAGCAAAAAAGCGTCCGCCTTCGTCGAGAGCCAAGCAGAAAGCAGCCAGCCATGGGACGCTTCGAAGTCCTCGATGCCTATCGTGAGCGCTATGGAACTCGCTTTCACTCTAATTAGCGGTCCAGTTTGCGGAAGATTTTTAGCAAGATAACAGGTAAAGCATTCAAGGAAACATTCGTTGACTCGTCCATCGAGCCACAAGCAATTTACTCTGAGAAGGTAATGTTGAGCATACAGTACACTTTCACAGGTTGTGTTGCGAACAGCAACAATCTCTGCTATACTGTAACCTGGCAGCCTGGGGCCCTTCACCATGGAATCTGCGCTGTACCTCCTCAATCTCAAGTTGTGATAGCAATTGCCGTTTGTGGATGTTGGAACACTGAGCTACTGGTTGTTTCGTGGTCAACCGTGACTGTGGGTTTCGAAGTAACCATTCAGCCAACTCTCTGCATGTAACCCCTCTGACTAGGGTTGCTTGAGTAGTAGCATTCCAACAGAGCCATGTTTTCGCATCTCGCCCATCTCCGCTTTGTTCCAGTAGCCCATTTTTCATCAAGGTGCTCTGTTTCCCCAGCACCTGACGCAGTTTGGCCGGGCGACGTCTGAGCCAGCATGTCATTCGTTTTATTGTCTCTCATCATGGTATGAGGTAGGCAGTAGCGTGAAGGGTCTTGCCCATTCGGATGATGTTATGTGCTCATATTGTCCCAAGCGGGAATCGAACCCTAGTCCCCCGTATGCCAAACCGGTGCCTTACCAACTGAGCTATTCACACACGCACGCACACACACACACGCACACCCACACACACACACACACACCCACACACCCACACACCAACCCCGGCGGGCAGCACGGTCAGCCCGGTAGTCCAGTGGTTAGCGCGTCGTCTTCATAGTGCAGAGGTACCGGGTTCAATTCCAACTCCGGCCTCCCTGTGTGGAGTTTGCATGTTCTCCACGGGCGTTTGTGGGTTTTCTTCGGGTACTCTGGTTTCCTCCCACATTCCAAAAAAAAACATGCATGGCAGGCTGATTGAACACTCTAAATTGTCCCTAGGTGTGAGTGTGGGCGTGGATGGTTGTTTGTCTCGGTGTGCCCTGCGATTGGCTGGCAACTGATTCAAGGTGTCCCCCGCCTACTGCCCGAAGACAGCTGGGATAGGCTCCAGCGACCCCCGCGACCCTAGTGAGGATAAAGCGGTTCGGATAATGAATGAATGAATGAATGAATATACACCAGGGGTCACCAACCTTTTTGAGAGTGAGAGCTACTTCATGTGTCCTGATTGTTGAAGGGCTACCAAATTGATACACATCTGAAATAACATTTGTACAAATTACATTTAATAATATTATAATGTGTTATTTTTCATACTTCATGTTTTTAATTTTCAGGCTCTGATCATCTAAAAGATGTCTCACAATACTGCCCATGTTTGCATTTTTAAATCATAATTTCAACTAGCAAATCACAATCCTAGCACTGGCGGGCTATTGGTGTGGTCCTCACGGGCTACCTGTGTGTATATCAGGGGTCACCAACGTGGTGCCCGCGGGCACCACGTTGGTGACACACACACACACACACACACACACACACACACACACACACACACACACACACACACACACACACACACACACAGCGGCAGTCGTGTCCTCATTGTCTTCCATCTATATACAGTATTATATTTCCAGTGACCGTCCAAGGGTGCACAGTGGTTGACTGGTAAACACGTTGGCCTCACAGTGCCAAGGTGCAGGGTTTGATTCCAGCCCCCGGCCTCCCTGTGTAAGGTTTGCATGTTCTGTCTGTGCCTGTGTGGGTTTCATCCGGGAACTTCGGTTTCCTCCCACATTCACAAACATGCATGGTAGGTTAATGAGACAATTAAAAATCAAACAAAATCAAGAAACACGATGAATTAATAATTTGGTCGTGTTGGAAGATCAGAAGTTTAAAAGTGTTGGAATCACAACAATGCAAATAATTTGAACTCCAAAATGCAACCACACAAGTCAGAGCCTCTAACACACTTTCAATTCACGAGGCAATGGCACCTCCTCGTGTTTGTGCGTGTACAGCACAACGCTAACACTTTATTTCAGGGTGTGTGTACAGGCAGCTGCTCGCTTGGTAACCTCGACAGGTGAGTGAGCAGGCGAGTATTTGTTCATAGGATTTTAGAGGGCGCGAGTCGTATCTCAAGCACGGAGAAGCACGCATCTGTTTTTTGCAAACCATTATTAAGGACTTTCCAGCGCAACGACGTCACACCATTGATAATTCCAGAGTAACTGAAACACCACGTGCACACAATATATTTTCACAGCTAAGATAAATTCATTCATCCATCCATTTTCCAATCCAGTTATCCTCACAAAGGTCGCCAGTGTGCTGGACCCTATCCCAATTATCTTTCGGCAGAAGCCGGGTCTACCCTGAACCTACGGACAATTTCTCGTTTTCCATGGTTGAGGAGAGTCAGCTTTTCGTTTCTTTCTGGCTCTCCTTGGACACAGGTTCTTTTATCTCTCTATAAGGTGGAAGAAGACCCAACACCACGTCGTCTTTTCTGAAGTTTATCACAACGCAACACGAATCGATTCGGGCTCCTGTGAGTCTCAGATTTCATCAGGAAGCTTCGAAGAAATACAGTCTCACGTATATATAGGCATAGTATGTTAATTATGTTAATGAGGGGCGGGCAGTCCTTTCCCTTATGTAAAAATCAGAGACAAAGAAAGGTCATGGCAGTTCGATCTTGGCATTTTGACAAAGTACAGACCACATCTGCTGTGCACAAATTATGAGATTGGAGTTCCTTTCTCAGGGAACTTGACAGCCCTGAGGGGCACAGCAGAGATGGGAGACCAGAAGAAGACACTTGGGGGCTGTTAATCACTCAAGGGGAAATAGGATCTAAACTTCACACTACATTCTTTGTTTTAAGCACTTCAGCACATGTTCAGGACAGAGACTAGTGTCAATAGTTCTCATAGCAAGGTGAAATTCCTCAACACCATCAACTTGCCGTGCATTATTTGGGAACGTGGGAGGAAACCGGAGTGTCACGCAGGCACGGGAGAACATGCGAACTCCACACAGGCCGGCGAGCTAACTGGTGCCGCCTAGAAATGAACTGTGTTCTCAAAACAGTGATTGGCCGGCTCTATTCTAACATCATCTACACTTCCAATTGACACATTCAAAATGGCAATCTGAAACACGTATGTCCCTTGAAATGACTGGCAAACCGTCTTTTCAAGATGGCAGCGTTCATGTCCCCACTTCTTTTCAGATAAATCGAACAACAAGATGCGTGAATCGTCATGGATTCGTGAATTTGTTTATGTTTTTATCTGAAATAATTTAATCTCGGACTCCCCACGGGCTCGACCAATATATTGCGTCAAAAGGTTTTAAACGGGGTTTCGGGAGACGACGACTCGAAATTTAATGCCTGAAATAAAACTTGCTTACCGCCAGGGGACACCACGCCCTTTTGGTGACAATAATTTTAAAGAAAAAATTGGCAGAAAATCCTTAAATTAGTCTTTATCCGAAAGCACGATATGTGAATAATATAAATCCGAGTAACCAGATTCGGGACTGACACTTGGATTTCAACACACACAACACTCACACTGGAATTCTGAAAATGACAAAGGTTGATTTTCTATCTCTACTTAACATACACAAAAGTCACACACGATTCAGTACTGTAGAACCGAAAACTTGACAAATTGTGGATACAAATGACCAAAAAAATATTTTATTTGCCATTATTGATGAGCAGAACTTTACTTATAAACCAAATTATTTTAGCAAAATTCGATATCCATAGATCAAGATTAAAACTTAAAATGATTGCAAACTTTAGATTATAATTTAAATTTGTTCACACTATCTTCTTTGGTGTTTAGTTATTTTATTTATTTATTTTTTTGCCCCTTTGCTAAACTCCCTGCCGTATTTTAAGAAGTTTGTGAATTTGCCTCCGTCTTTATATTTGAATTTTCACCATATTTTGTATCCTTTGTTATTTTCAATACTCATGTCTGCTTTGCAAATTGAACTGAAAAAATGTTCTCGAAAATGTTCTCGTCAATAAAGTTTTATAATTTTTTTTTCGAAAGGAAATCAGTTTGAAAATACCCGGACCTCGCTGATAATTGAACGAAAATCTTGTAGGAAAAAATCCAGCACAATTTGGCGAAGATGTTTTACTGCATACAATGATTATGTAACCATTTGCTGGAAAGATGTCTTACAAATTCATATCTTATTTCGCTGACAACGAAATGATCATACTTTACTCGGTAGCAATTCTGTTTCAATGATAAATACGGCAAACATTTTGAGATTTCATTGTTTTTGTGTTTTACAGAGAGTCAGTGAATGCAGCGTCACCTCCTTTCTTTTTCCAGCCCAGGCGGCGAACGCTTCACTTCCTGTCTGTCTGCCCCAACTTCACAGAGTACAAAATCTCCAACAGGACTGCGTCAATTCACGCCTTGCTGTCAACTGATGAACAGAAGACTGTGAGTATTATTGTTATTATTGTTATTTATCCTGAAATCCATTTTCTAAATCAAGTATCCAGCACGCCTTAGCTACATTTTAATCGGCCTAAACGACACGCAGATAACCATGTTTTTCTCCTGTCTCTGTCCCGCCTGTACCACCTTTTCACAATTAGACGCGATAAATTAAAAGTTAACATTTTCGCATTTAGGTGTCCATATTACTTAATTCCGGTGCTGCTCTACCGGCGAAGATGAATTCTACATTTTTTATTGCTACCTTGTAAACGGAAAAGTTATGTGTTCATCTTATGAACAGTAGCCTATATGGTAATGATACCTAATGTAACAGTTGAAGTGTAGCGTGCAACAAAGCACAAGAAACGGCGCTGGGTGTTTGATTGCACGGGTTAATAAACGTGAACAAATGTAGTTACGTCTTGGTGCGAGTTTGGTGGCTGAGAACGCTGCTGTTTGAAGTCATGTTGACATGTTATAGCGGAATACATACCCGTCGCCTGAGCTCAGGGTTAAGGAGGTGACATGAAATGCATAAGGGGGAGGGGGGGGGTCAATATTATTAATACCCTAACTCAACAGACCGTTTACTTTGCTTCATATATTTGGATATATTCGTGCAACAGTCTTGAATGGCGCCCTTTGCGACATCCGCTGGCAAATTGTATTGTCATCGACAACATTTCCAATATAAATACATCGACCCCCTTATTGAGTACGTTGACGTACTGGATACAATACAGACGTGTTGGATGTGGCAAAGTGAAGGTATTTGTGACAGATGCCACGTTCACTTGGTCGTTGGAGAGGTGTCAAGCAAGAACTGACTGAATCAAAACCAAACCATTGATTTTGATTGTATTAAGCATACATGGCAATTTTCCGCGGATCCGCGGAAATCCGCCGTTTTATTTCTTAAATTGATCATTTTTGTGAATCGTCTAAATCCGTTGAGAAAATTTTAGGGGCGGTCAGGTACCTTATCGTCGAGTTTTCACGAGCTCTCCGGAACAGTCTCTCCGTTTTCCGTTTGTAAACAGCCCTGCGATTGGACGTGTATGAAAGCTTCAACTAATCAGATCACTGAAGGCATTATTTGTTGCGGAAGTCTTAGCTCGATTATAAACAGCCCAGCGATTGGTTAACTACAAGCGATTGGACCAATCAAATTGCATGTAACATATTGTTTTACCTGATTCATGGCGGCCTGTTCGTCTCGCAAATTCATTGTTCTGGGATCGTTTTGAGCGGAATTATGAAATTTTTGACGAAAGATAAGGAGTCTTCAATCCTAGAAATTGACTCAAATGTCAAGAATAAATTCCGATTGGACTGGCTTGACAGAAAAGTCACTGTAAAGGTTAAAATTGGTTCCAAGTTCGACGAAGTTACAGAAGCTCTTGGACAATAAGCTTTGACGTAGCAGGCAAAGCTTATTGTGTGTATTGTAGTGACTTAATTAACTATGGCTCCCGTGGATGCGTGGCACTGACAGATCATGCAACAAAAGTGAAAAAACATGCCGACAAAATCGCCATTCGACGGAGCAATTATTCTTTGGGATCGGCATTTTTCAAACAAACTTAGTCAGCGGATACAACTAAAGACGTTACACGCTGGGGTACTTACTTTGGCTGAACCAAGCAACGAAATCTGCTCCACTGACGCCCCTCGCCGATAGACAGGTACACTCCGAGGTATATACTTTTTTTATTCAAAGATACGAGGATGATATTTTCAATTTTATTTGGTATGCATTTGTAGCAACAGCATGATAACATTTATTTGTTTTGAGTTGCGTTTTATATTCATATTGATAATTCACGTTTTGTCTTGGATAATAAAGCACGGTTAGGCATAATAAATTGTATGCATAATAAATATTCACTATCACTGTATGAGGTAAGAATCAACAGCTTTTTATCACATTTACACAACACTTTATGAATACAAGTCATGAACAAATCTTAAATATGGCAGGGAATGTGTTTACTTTTTTAGTTTTGATTTTGAGCAGCAAATTTGGAGTTACATATTGGTGCTCACCATGAATGCATAGGCAAAATTGCACAAATTTTCACTTGAAAGAATAGTGGCGATCTTGGGATTTTTTTCTGTTCAATTTTCAAACTGTGTAAATTTAATACACTTCATCTTCAGCATGTTTAGTGCCACTTTTGTAAGTAACCACGCCCCCGTCCCGGCCACGCCCCGTCCAGGCCACGCCCCTTCCGCTTTTTTCATCACTCGCCATTGCCATGTATGATTAAGTCTTTCTAACTCAGTTTTACAAATATTATTTGGCGATTTTTATGGCGAATAAAATGGACACATCCAATATGGCGGATATGCTGACATATCACTTTGAACGGGCCACACAGTTCAAGAGGTGTCTGCAGCATAATTGAAAAGAAAAATGAAAAAGGATATCGCTCTTCATTTTATATGATGTTTAATTGGGCACTTTCTGGTCGGTGACGGACTTGTAATGTTACATCTCACCCGGTCCAAGACCCAGAACAATATTTATATGGTAGTCTGACAGCGCGTGAACGACAAAAAAAGTCATGTAGTTTGAGAAGGTCACAACCCTTGCGACTACGCCACCCGCCCACAGCAGGCATTTGTAAAGATTGGATCATCGGATTGAAAAACGGTCTTTTGCTTTATTTGGCAAGCATTCCAATTTGCAACATACACAGAAACCTTAATTCCAGTGAATTTGGGACGTTGTGTTCAACGTAAATAAAAACAGAATACAGTGATTTGCAAATCATGTGCAACCTATATTAAGATACACTACAAAGACACGATATTTCATCTTCAAACTGATCACTTAATTGATTTTAGCAACTAATCATCCATCCATCCATTTTCTGAACCGCTTTATCCTCACAAGGGTCGCGGGTGTGCTGGAGCCTCTCCCAGCTGTCTTCAGGCAGTAGACGGGGTACACCCTGAAGTGTTTGCCAGCCAATTGCAAGGCACACAAATGAACAATCATTTACACTTAGAATCATACCTACGGATTATTTTGAGTGTTCATTAACCTCCCATACATGGTTTTTGGTATGTGGGAGGAAACCGAAGTACTGGAAAACATCCGCAGGCGCGGGGAGAACATGCTAAGGCCAAACAAAAAAGATAGCGTGTTTCAGGTAACATGAAATTTAAGCATAGGGTCGGTAGGTAGAACAAAGTTTTTTTTTTTTTTTTTTCCATCACAAAGGGCTCTCTCACATAAAAATTATTAACAGCTTCTGCCCTCTCGCCATTAACTCCCTAAATAGTGACTCAAATCTAGAGTGGCTCTTTGCATTTTTGCACACCCCTGTGGGACGGCATTACTGCACGGATCATTGTAGCTCCAGCTCCCTACATACTTAAACAATTGTCATTGATCAATATTCCACAGCACCGGACACTTTAAAGAGCTCAAGGACTATCTGCCTAATTGCACATCGAAAGTTATACGACAATTACTGCCACTGGTCACTTAAAAATGGTGCAACGATTAACCTCACCAACAGCACAACTGTCATAGTATTGTATTGCACCACTGATCACTTGAACTCGGCTCGATGACTCTGCACCTTGTCGCACAACTGTCATTGGGTGGTATGACTGCACGATGGTACTTTTACATTACGGAAAGTCTTTCTATATTTTCTATTTATGTCATGGACTGGACCGAATGGTCAGGAGGGCCAGCTCTGTCCTGGGCTGCTCCCTGGACACTCTGGAGGAGGATGTGGGCAACAGGAGGAGCTATTTTCTTAACATTACGGTGCGAGCATGCGACTGTAACACAGAAACGCGGTTTAAACTGTCGTCGGAGATCGCGGCCGCCGCCATGATTCAATGTTGTTGACAGACGACAGGGCAAACGACGCCCGCGCTCAACGTGAATATCGCGAGAGTTTGCACCGATGTAAACCCTCTACACAAAAAATGTAGAGGATTTTTTTGAAAAAAAAAAAATTTACGGTTGGCATTTTCGACGTAGAAATTCTCGGTCGGTCGCGTTACTGGAAACACACTATTTTTTTTCTCCGCCTAATTCCATACAGGAAAGCTGGGGCCGAAATCAAACCCTGCACCTCTGCACTATGAGGCCGACGTGCTAACCAGTTGATGACTGTGCCGCTGCAAATAATCATCACTGCTGGGGTACATTAGTGTAAAAGCTCTTGTATGACTTACACAGGCAGACAGAACAAATTAATGATCTTTGAAGGCAGAATGTACATCATGTGTTTCCCCTTTTTGTGATATTTTTGTATGATTGTGTGCCATGAGAGTTTTCAAATTTAAATTTTGTGCTTTGAGTCAAGGTGGGGAATCACCGAGGGATAGATAGATAATTCATCTCATGAGGTTAAGTAGATTTGCTTGCAAACAATGTTGTCAATACAACCTATGGAATGGGAAAAAGCCAGCAAATTAAGCTTTATAAACTCACCTGCAGTGCACATGCACACCACACGTGCAGGAAAAACAAGTGCATGACACACCCTCCCTGCGGGGAAAAAAAAAAAGATTGGAAGCCGTGCGGCCAAGACATACATCTTGAAATGAAGACAAAAGACTTTTTGAAATATATGATTTCCACTCCATTTAAGTTATAAGTCTGTGTTTCTGATAGTGTTTGTGCCTTGAAGGCCCTAACGGCACTGTCAAATCATCTTGATACATTTTTCAAGAAAATGCCACATTTACAGTACTGACAAGTTAATTCATATGTACTGATGACAAGAAACTCATTCCATCATACCCTGTCGAACATATCCATATCGATTCAAATCTTAATCCCACTGAATTGAACCGAATCGAATCATAACGTACCACTCTAAAATTGCAAGGACTTTAGTAACCCCCCCCCCAAAAAAAAAAGTAGAAAGTCCACACTTTGCATCCTGCCTTTTTGTGTCATAAACCTTTGTTGTAAAATGAGTTGATAATCCCTTTAACACGAAGCAGAGTCAGACTACTCTTGTGGATTTCAGGGCTGGAACTTGATTGGTCATGACTGAGCAGGAGCAGCAGACGTTTATGGAAAGACTGGAAGTGGCACTCTCTTGGATGAAGGATGTGCAGGAGAGGCTGAGGGCAAATGATGACACCCAAGGGCCCTTGAATGCCCTTGAAGCCAGACTCAGAGAGACTGAGGTGAGACCCCTATACATTGTTTGAACCTGCCTCTGGTAGGTATGGGTACTTAAATCGATACACCCGAAACTCAAAAGATCGGTGAGCAGCACCAGATGTCAGTTTCGAGTAGTAGTGTCATCAGGTTTTCAAGCTATGTTCATGCACAGCTTATATCCATGCATATTAGTAGCTACAGCTATTGTGTATGAGGGATTATTCTCCATGGGTGTGTGTCTTTTATCAACCAAAATTAAACACGATTCAGAACCTCCTCCAGAAAATACAAAAGTTAAGTCAGTTATTTTATAAGCATTGCCAGCACCCCAAAGTGGCAAGGGCACTTGATAGCTGCTCGCCACTCTAGTTTCTATTATTTTGAATTGCTATCATTTAAATGTACCGTATTTTCCGCAGTAAAATGTGCACCTAAAAGCCTTCCATTTTCTTAAAAGCTCACAGCGCGCCTTAAAATCCGATGCGCCTCGTGTATGGTCATTACGGTAATATTTCAACCGCAAAATGGCTCGTTGCTCAAGACATGCTTGACAACGCAGAGTTCAAATTTAAGGCGATCGGTTACACAGTTGAACACGGAAATAGAGCAGCGGCAAGAGAGTTCAACGTTAACGAGTTAATGTTATAACTGTTGGTTTAGTGATGGCAATTTTCCGCGGATACGCGGAAATCCGCCGTTTTATTTCTTAAATTGATCATTTTTGTGAATCGTCTAAATCCGTTGAGAAAATTTTAGCGGGGGTCAGGGACCCTATCGTCGAGTTTTCACGAGTTCTCCCGATCAGTCTTTCCATCTTCCAATTGTAAACAGCCCTGCGATTGGACGTGTATGATGTCTTACTTGTTGTGATTGGTCGCTATATCAGCAAATATAAATCACAACCAATCCGTGTTCGCCTTCCTAAACCCCTTTCTCGCGAATGCCGAATGTTATCGAGACTCGCGGCGAAGCTAAAGTGCGTCAGATAGATGCGGCTCTGAAAAACACGTTTCGATGGGACTGGTTGGATAGAAAGCTGACGGTGTCCCCGGTAGGAAACAGTAAAGAGGAACCATTGTGCTTGTGTCGGATTTCGTGAAAAAGCTCGATGTCGCCGGTAAAGCTCTGTGTACAGTGTGTGAC